GGGTGGAAGAGAAGATCACATGTAATCATGACAAGTAAGGTCATAGGCTTGGGTAAGATAAGGAAACTCTTTGGTGTAGGTGGTGGGATTGTTAGTGAAAGAGCCAAGCTTTTCAGTCTGGGAGAGACCAGACGGAGAGGAAGGAACATGGACTCTAACTTCTCCTTCAGTGCCCACCACTTCCCTAAGGGGACCCAGAAGAGGACCACCCAGAGCAGGTGTGGCGGTTAGGAGGTGAAAAAAAGGGGGGAGGCCAGATTGGGGTGCTGAAAGAGGTGAAGACTGAGAATCTAGAGGATCAGAAAACGTTGAAGAGGGTCCAGAGAGGGGAAGAGTGAGGGGAGTCTCAAGACTTGGAGAGTGTGGCAGGTTTTCAGGAGGGAGGGGTTGGAGGGGGGCACAGGCGCACAAGAGAAAGCCAGCCTGGCTCTAAGGGATCTCTGACCATTTTCCATAGTGGTGACAGAACTCTTTAGGTCTGTAAGGATGAGAAGTCAAAAGTGCCATGCTCGGGCCTGTGGGATCCGTTGTCCAATTGGTATTGAGGCCACGCAGTGCCACAGTAAAAGATGAGACGCTTAGGGCGTATATCTGGCCTAAGCGCCAAGGAACCAAGGTTTGAGAGGAGGCATTTGTCACGAGGGTGATAGATAAGCTTCAGTCAGAGGTTGGCTCTCAGAGAGAATTATATTCCTCTATTGGTCACACACACACTTAAGTTCATACAGGCAAGCCAACCCCAGGTTCCCAAAGTATGTTTGACTGAAGACAGTCGCTGCAATTTGTCTTAGCTGGGTCTTCCACCTAGGTGGATGTTCTCTGGCTGTGGAAGTCTCTAGGCCCGAGGGCCCACAGTGCAGATGGTCACACAGGGTGTTGAGCTGATAGGCCGCTTGTGCCTCTGTCAGGGAGCCGGCCATCAGGGAGCCTTCGAAATTCATCCTGGGGTGCAACCCCCATCCCCCTATGTGAGCATGCTGCTGGAGCAGGGCAGCTGACTTGGGAGCTTTGGAACCGGATCCACCACAGGGCAGAGGAGGTCTGGACCCTCCTCCTTATTGTGGAAGGCGCAGGTTGTCTGATGGCTTTGGAAAGCCTAAGGGCCCAAGCCACACCTCAGCCCAGAGCCACCTTGCAACCAGGCAGGTCACAGAGAGCCTTGCCCTCCGTGCCTGCTGCTGCTGTTCCCGCCAGCACAGGGCCAAGGCAGCCCCTGTGCCCCAGGTGAAGCACCGAAGCCCGCCTGCAGGCCCGTGGACCTGGGCCTGTTGTTCCATAGTGTCACCTCTCCCTTTTCAGCCAGGGGACCTCAGTGTCTGCTGACCTGGGCAAGTTGGCTTCTCTAGTTCTACCCCAGCTGGGCAGTAAAAGTCGCCCCATGGACCTGCCTGCCCCCGCACCCCTACACTGATGCTTGTTCTTCTGCTTTTCCACACCAGGAAGGGCCCAGCCTCATCTACTCAACCTGCGGTCCCCCGGCCAGCTGAGGCTCCCCTCTTAGACTTATAAGCCTGTGGCCACTGGCATCCAGCCTCCTGCCCTCCCTGCCTCCCCAGGGTCCATATGGAGGACTCCTGGGCTTTCTGCCCACCCCAGGGGGCCCCGGGTGCTCCCTTCAGCCATCCTCTCAGCTCTGCCCTTCCGGGGTAAACAGTGGTATTTCACCTGTCTTTCTCCATCAGAAATGGTGGTGTCGCGTGGGGCCCGAGGCCGCCTACTCCTGACACTAAGGGTGACCCTGGGCCAGTGGGTTGAAAGACAGGGGAGCAGAAAGGAGGGAGCCGAAGGGAGCCGATCACATGTCTGGCCCATGGGTGCACTGTCTGGTGTGTGTGAGAGGCCAGTGAGCGCGCAGGGAGAGGCTCCAGCTCCTGCTCCTGCATCCCCCCTCCCTTTCCCCCCTTCCCTTTCATCCAGAACCCCTGGCCACACCCTCCCCTGCTTCTTCTTCCCTCCCCACCTTCCCCCCAGCGCTGCAGCCCAGGCTGAACCCACCTTCACAGCTCTCCCCCTTCTCTGCCCTCCCCCGTTTTCTCTCTGCTTCTCTCCAGCTGCCAGCTGATTGGGTCAGGCAAGTCCATCCCGTCCTAAGAGCCCCAGACCCCCTTCGGCTCTAACCAGACGCCCTCCTCTTCCTGGGACACCTCTCTTCCCAGGCCTGCCTGGGTGGCTGTTCTGTGACTTGGCCCCCAGCCCCCAAACCTCCCCCTTCATCTGTGACTTTAGTCTGTTGGGGTGGTGAGCTGACACCCCAGGCGTGACCTTGGTGACTCTTGTGCCCCCTCGGTGGTATTGCTCCTGCCCTGCTCTATACATGTCTATAAATACACACACACACAATTAACGTGCACATCTCTAGTGTTGGGAACCACCGTGCTGTGCTGTCCTTCTGAGTCTTGTGGCCCAACTACAAGCAAACGCTGTTACCCCAGCCGCCCCGCCAACATGTGCCACCTCCAACGAGCCTCCCTGCCATTCCCGGCCTGTGCAGAGTCAGCCCCTCTGCCACCTTCCTGCCCCTTCCCCGAGCATGGGGGTGCTGTCCTGGCAGCTGTGTGCTTCTGGCCGCGACCAATCCTTCTGTCTCTTGGCTGAGCATGAAACCCATTTCTGAACAATGGGGAGCAATGTGTTGTGTGCTGGTTGTGTTCTGTGGAGTTCAGGGGGAAGGGAAGGTTTAAGCATGGGGGCGCAGGGGTGCCTGGGAGGCCCCAGTTTTTCCCAGGCTGCCCTGGAAAGCACCTCGACTTAGCTGGTCTTCATCTGAACCCTGCTGTGGCTGCCAGGGGTAGAGTGCCTGCCTGGAGGACTCATGGGACCTGGGTGGGAGAACAGGGTGAGAGGAGAAATGCCTAGGCTAGGAACCAGTACTCTGGGGTGCTGGCACCCTGCTTTCCTCCCACAGAAGTAGGCCAGGTTTCCCAGTCTTGGTCATCAGAGCAGGACCTGACCCTCCTGGGGCGGCACGCAGCCCACAGGCCGGACAGGTCAGAATGCTGAGCGGGGTTGGATGCCCTGACAGGCAGCCGCGGTGTGCACCTTGCACCCTGAAGCCTGCCCTCTGCTGGCAGGACCCACACCCAGCCCAGCGCCTGAGCCCAGATCCCAGGGCCTGACCATGTGGTGAGTTCAGTTTATTCAGAAACAAAAGTGAAACACCAGGAACCACTCCCTGTCCTTGCCTCCTTCCTCTGTCCTGGGTGATCTATAAATAAGTTTCCTCGATGTCAACTGATTCATAGAAACCTCCTCTCCCAGGGGCCACCGCAGCCTCCGCTGTGATACAGGAGCCGTCTCAGCCCCATGTACACACGTCCCAGCACAGTCTGTACACTGCAGGGCGCTCATGCGCCTTCCGCCTGGCCTCCACCAGCCACCCCGGCCCGGCTTCTGGCCAAGCCCAGTTTTCCACAGGGTTGGGGGAGTGTGTACCCCCAAATTGCCTGAGTAAACCATGCATCCTCTCTATGGGGACTTTCTGTAAAAGAAGCAGTGAAGGCCACCTCTCTGCAAATCCGGGGTAGCCTCCAAAATAATCAGGCACAGAGCCCCCACGGGACTTTTGTAAAGACAGCAAGTGGAGGCCACCCCCTTGTGGACTGCGGTGGCCTCATACCTGCGGGACATTTGAGATGAGCGACGGGGGAGGCCACCCCTTCGTGGATTGGGGTGGCCTCATGCCTGCAGGACTTTTGTGAGGAGGGGGATAGGGGAGGCTTCCCTTTTGTGGATTGGGGTGGCCTCATACTTTTGTGAGAGGGCAAGGAGGAGACCACCCCTTTGTGCATTGGGGTGGCCTCATGCCTGTGGGTCTTTTGTGAGGGGTGGGATGGGAGAGGCCACCCCTCTGCAGATTGGGTGGCCTCATGCCCATGGGCCTTTTGTGAGGGGGGAAGGAAGAGGCCACCCCTTTGCACATTGGGGTGGCCTCATGCCCATGGAACTTTTGTGAGGAGGACAGGGGAAGCCACCCCTTTGTGGATTGGGGTGGACTCATGCCCGCAGGACTTGAGGGGGGATGGGGGAGGCCACCCCCTTGCAGATTGGGGTGGCCTCATGCCCACGGACCTATTGTGAGCGGGGACAGGGGATGACACCCCTTTGAGGACTGTGGTGGCCTCATGCCCGCGGGACTTTTGTGAGTGGGACAGGGTAACCTCAAGCCGCAAGATTTGTGTAGTGAGCAGAGCCCCCCTTTAACAGGTGGGTGCCCATAAAATAATCGGGCACACATGCCCATGGGGACTTTTGCTAGGTAGTAGGAGAGGCCTCCCCTCTGCAGATAGGGATCACCTCCAGAATAATTGGGTGCAACAAAAAGTAAAAATAAAAAAATAAAGAAAAATCAAAACAATTATTGGGTCCAACAAAAAATTTAAAAAAAACCACAAAAACAAAAACAAAAAATTGGGTGCAAAGGCCCATGGGGAAATTTCAAAAGGGAGCAGGGGAGGCCACCCCTTTGTGGATCTGGGTGGTCTCAAATAAACCACTGCTATCTCTGTGGCTACACTCTAGACAGGTGTTGGTGCCCACCTGCACCAGCTGGTATCTCTGTCTGGACTTAGCCCCTGTGCCGGGCCTTCAAAGTGCTGCCCCACTCCACATGGTTGGGGTGGGGGGGGGCACATGGCCCAAAATTGCCTGATATAATCTAGGCCCTCTGCAGGAAGGCCTGGTAAGGATTCAATTGGTCATCAAGGAGCCTTTATATTGTAGAATGGAGCCCCCTAAATAACTAGCTGGATATTTCTAGCTCCTTGTCTCTGGAAGTATGATTAGTCCAGAGTTAAATTAAGACACAGCCCTAACCTAAGAGGCTAGGGTCTGCACCTATTTCACTCTATTAGAAAGGGGAGTTGTTGTACCCCTTTTTTAAGCCAAGGGATGAAAGGACAACTGGGAAGGAGAGCCAAAGGACAGGGTGGGAAAGCCTGGGGAACAGGGATGGGTTGGTGAGGGCCAGGTGGGGCCAGAGCCTCCAGCCCCATGCCGGTGGCCTAGACCACCATTATCTTCACCTCATTGTCGTCAGCCTGGTAGAAGAAGGGAAGGCATGGGCTGTTTCCAATGGTGACGACTTCCTGGGGGTTCTGCATTTCTTGAAGCAGCTGAACGACCTGCCGCGCAGAGGCGTTCTCAAGGGGAGTCAGGCCCAGCTGGGCCTCGCCCTGGGTCGGCTGCACATCGTGGACAAGGCTCACCTTACTTGGTTCTTTAGAGAGACAGAGACAGGAAGCTGTGTGCCTGGCAGAATGTGCTCTTCCTGCCCAGCTGCCCATTAGGGGCTTTCCTCACCTTGGACGTTGGCAGTGCCAAGCTTCTTGGGGACTAGGCATGCGCTAGTGGGCTCAGCAGCAGGGTTCTGGGCAGGGGCTTCACCCACCATTCGTTGCGTGCCTCCACCAGTCACAAACTCAGCTCTTGCAGCTCTAACAGCTTCACCTGGAAGCAGAGATGCTCAGAAGCCCGCCCTGCCCCCAGCCGCACCACCATGGAGCCAGAGCTCTGACTACCTTCATCTCCTCTTTGTCCTGGGCCAGCTGGCTTATGGACTTCTCCCTCTCTTGGTGCTCCTCCCTCATCACTGCTCTCTGGTTCTGGTAGAGAGCGATGTATTCTCCTAGGGGGAGGGTGTGCAGACAGCTCAGCTGCTGGGGTCTCCCCAGCCTCTGCATAGCACCCCAGCTGCAGGGCACAGGTCTCCCCACTCACCGATGGTGTCAGTCTCTCCAGACATCGGGATACATCGATGCTCCAGCTCCTCCATCCAGTCCTGTAAGCCCACTTTCTCCTGCATGAGCTCTGTAAAGCATCTCTGCAGCCAGACAGCAGGCTCAGGGGCTCAGCAGTGCCGGCCTGCCCAGCAACCACCCACCCAGGCCTCCGGAAAACCACACTGTGGGGTAAGATAAAACTATCAGGCTTTTCTGCCCTCCTGCCATTAGGATAGATGAGGGAACCCTGCGGTCTGAATGCATGCCTGATGCAGGCACCTGGAGTAGGGTGTGGGCATATGTAGATGGGATTCACCTGGGCTAAGACTGGGCTTTTAAGGGTGGCATCACAGGGACACCAGCAAAAGCAGAGGAGCAGAAGCAGAACCGAGAGAGCAGAGCAGCAGAGACCACCAGAGAACGCCAGAGAGCCCAGAAAGAGTGAAGACTTGCTGGGGGCTGGGAGGCCTGTCAGCCTCTTGGCCCCCTAGCACCCCTACCTGCCATGTACCCAGTAAATCCCAATAAAAGTCTGCAAAAGCCACTGAGGCTTCCAGGACTCTCTTCTCCTGTACCCGGTCTGCTGAATCAGAAAACATGCCCTGTGTCCATTCCTTCCTCTCTTAAAATTGGCGTAAGTCAGCAAGATGATCCATGCAGACGGTATGGAGCCCTTTGAAGACCTGAAAGGACTGAGGAGCAGCAGACAGTGTGTTCCTGTGATGCGTTGGATGTGTCATGGCGGCACAGGGGATGGGCAAGGTCCGGGAGCTGTGTGATGAGACCTCGCCTGGAGGAGGAGATGCCTGAGAGGATCAGCCAACAATCCCCGAGGCAGCAAGAATCGTCGGGGGAGAAAGGACCACGATTCAGAGCTCCCCAGTGTGGACAAAGGGAAAAATCAATGAACTTGGACTAATGGACTAACAATCCCACCAGAAGGGGGAGGACCTTGGCAAGTTTGATATGTTTTGGGGACTCTGAGGAAGGATGGGATTGTACACCCCCGGAGATGGGAATCTCGGTGTGGCCAGTGGGCCTTGGTGGCCAAAAGCAGCTGGTGTACTGCCCAGCAGCTAAGCAGAGGAGAAAAGCCAACTGAGAAGGCAAAAGCTGGTGCTAAGTTCGGGAAGCCCTGAGCGGCTGTTAAGCACTGCGTAAGCTAAAGGCCAGTGAGTCTTTTAAAATCATCTGTGGGTAATGCCCATGCTCACAGTTGAGTTAGGGTGAGGAGCCGAGGAGCACATCCTTGGGGGATAGGTAGGGAACGTGGCTTGTGGTGGAGCCCACGGCCGAAGAGGGGACCCAAGAGAGGCCGCATGTGGAGCTTGTATCCACAGATCCCCGACCCATGTGTATGTGCAGTGGGTTGGCCCGAGTACAGGGGCCTGCGTGTCGCATTCGTGGCTATGAAAGCCGAGTGTTGGAGCAACCACAAACAGAAAACCCTGAGGGTTGGGAGATTACCCCCTGTAAAGGCAGGAATTGACCACAGTGCAGGTTTCCTGATCCCATGCAGACCGGGTAAAGGAGGAGTCAGAGTCCTCAGTGGTTTTTGCAGGTTTTTTATTGGGGTTCACCAGGCACATGGCAGGCAGGGGTGCTGGGGCAGGGGTGCAGGCAGGGGTGCTGTCCTCCCAGCCCCCAGCAAATCTTCACTCTATCTGGGCTCTCTGGCATTTTCTGCTTCTGCTTCAGGCTTCTCTTTCGGCTTCTGCTGCTGCTGGTGTCCCCGTGACGCCGCCCTTAAAAGCACAGTCTTAGCCCAGGTGAATCCCATCTACCTATCCCACACCCTATTCCAGGTGCCCGCCATCAGGCATGCATTCAGGACCTTGAGGATCCATCATCTATCCCGATGGCGGGAGGGCAGAAAAGCCTGACATTTTTCCTTACCCTACAGTCCAACCCTCAGGGTTTTCTGCCATATAATCTATATATATATACAATTTTCTTAGCAAACATAAACAATGCAGCCATGGCCCACAAAAGCAAATACATCACAATATAACAAAATACAGCAGAACACAAATAAATCCAGGCAGGGCACCAACCTAGTGCAAAAGACAATTATTGGTACCAGCAGATGAGCCACCAAATCTGCTGCCGAAGGCACTGCTCATACGAGGGAGGGGAATCACTCACGGCATCTACTCTAACACACCAGGAGCCGTCAGTCTTCCTGGCCTTCTCTGGCTGTAGTCTCGGCTACAAGGCACACACAGCATCCACCACCAGGATGCACTAGCTCTGGGATTGGCGATTCCATTCTGTTGGGGGTAATCACCAACCCTCAGGGTTTCTGTCTGCAGTCACTCCAACACTCGGCCTTCATAGCCACTAATGTGACTCGCAGACCCCTGCACTCAGGCCAACCCACTGCACAAGCACATGGGTCGGGGATCCAAACTCTACATTTGGCTTGGGCTCCACCCCAAGCCGCGTTCCCCACCCGTCCCCCAAGGACGGGTTCCTCAGCTCCTCACCCTCACTCAAGAATGAGCAGGGCATCACCCACAGGTGATTTTATGAGACTCACAGATCTTCAGCATACTCAGGCTGCTTAACAGCCACTCAGGGCTCTCAACTTAGCATCAGTACCAGCTTTTGCCTTCTCAATTGGCTTTTCTCCTCCACCTGGCTGCTGGGCATGCACAGGCTGCTTTTGGCCATCAAGGCCCACTGGCCACCCCCAGATTCTTAAAAACAATAAATAAATAATAACCTGCCAAGGTCCTCTGCTTTCTGGCGGGATTGTCAGTCCAAGTTCAATTGTCAGTCCATCAGTCCAAGTCTCTTGGCCTCTCCCTGAATCAGCACTGGCAAGCTCCAAATCTTGGTTCTCTCTTTGCCGATGATTCTTGCTGCCTCAGGGGTCTTTGGCTGGTCCTCTCAGGCATTGTTGGCTGGTCCTCTCAGGCATCTCCTCCTCCAGGTGTGGTCTTGTCCTGTAGATCCCAGACCTTGTCCATCTCCTGGGTCACCATGACGCCTCCAGCATCATCACAGGGAAACAGTCTGTTACTCCTTAGTCCCTCCAGGTCTTCGGAAGGCTCCATACCCGTCTGCCTGGATCATCTTGCTGACTTACGCCAATTGCGGAGGCAGGAATGAGCCACAGTGCAGGTTTCCTGATCCCATGCAGACCGGGTAAAGGAGGAGTCAGAGTCCTCAGTGGTTTTTGCAGGTTTTTTATTGGGGTTCACCAGGCACATGGCAGGCAGGGGTGCTGGGGCAGGGGTGCAGGCAGGGGTGCAGTCCTCCCAGCAAATCTTCATTCTATCTGGGCTCTCTGGCGTTCTCTGCTTCTGCTTCGGGCTTCTTCTCTTTCAGCTTCTGCTGCTGCTGGCGTCCCCGTGATGCCGCCCTTAAAAGCACAGTCTTAGCCCAGGTGAATCCCATCTACCTATGCCCACACCCTATTGCAGGTGCCCACCATCAGGCATGCATTCAGGACCTCGAGGATCCATCATCTATCCTGATGGCGGGAGGGCAGAAAAGCCTGACATTTTTCCTTACCCTACACCCCCAAAGAGTACAGAATCGCCAACCCAAGAGTGAGTGCATCCTGGGGATGGATGTGGTGTGTGGCTTGGGGCCAAGACCGTAACCGGAGGGGGCTGGGAGGCCTGCTGGCTCCTGGCATGTGACAGATGATGCCTGAGTGGTTCCCTCCCTCGCATGAGCAGTGCCTTCGGCAGCGGAAGTGGCATCTGCTGGTGCCAATAATTGTCTTTTGCCACTAGGTCGGTGCCTTGCCTGCACTTATTTGTGTTCTGTTATATTTCATTGTGATGTATTTCATTTGCTTTTGTGGGCCATGGCTGCAGTGTTCGTATTTGTCAAGAGAAACGTGTGTATCACTTGTATAGAATGTCTGGCAGAAAACCCTTAGGGGGTGGATTGTAGGGTAAGGTAAAAGTATCAGGCTTTTCTGCCCTCCCACCGTTAGGATGGATGACGGAACCCTGCCGTCCCGAATGCATGCCTGATGCAGGCACCTGGAGTAGGTTGTGGGCATATGTAGATGGGATTCACCTGGGCTAAGACTGAGCTTTTAAGGGCGGCGTCACGGGGACGCCAGCAGAAGCAGAGAAGCAGAAGCAGAACCGAGAGAGCAGAGCAGCAGAGTCCACCAGAGAATGCTGGAGAGCCCAAAAAGAGTGAAGACTTGTTGGGGGCCGGCCCCCGCACCCCTACCTGCCATGTATCCGGTAAATCCCAATAAAAGTCTGCAAAATTCACTGAGGCTTCCAGGACTCACTTCTCCTTTACCCGGTCTGCTGGATCAGAAAACCTGCCCTGTGTCCATTCCTTCCTGCCTTACACACACCTGCAGTTTCTCCATGGCTCCCTGAAGGGCCTGGTGGGTCTCCCCAGGCACACTTTCCCCCCGGGGCCCCGGGGCTAGGGCCTCCATCTTTTTGGGCTTTTGGTCCCATGGGGCTGCCTGCTGAGCCAGGCACCAGCAGAGCAGCTTTTGCTCCTTTAGCTGCCTGTGCAGCCGCGCCTGTTCTTCCTCAGCACTGGCCAAGACCGAGTTACAAAATGCCACTTGTGGGCCAGAGGTGCAGGGTGCCCCTGTGGGCCCGGCAGGAGGTTGGGAGGCATGCCTCTCAGGGCCTCCGTGGGCACACCTGAGATTCAAGGATGGTGTTGGTGTCTACCCACTGGCTCCCAGCAGAGGTGGGTGAAAGCTTAATCAAAGGGAGGGAAACCAAGAAGAAGGGTGTGCAGGTGGGAGGGGAAGGTGGGACAGGGAAGGGGCCCCAGGGCCAAGCTCACCATGGCCTCATGGCTGTCTAGGTCATCCAGGATGCTTAGTTTTGGCAGGGGACCCTTGTCCTCCTCTTCTTCCTCCTCCTCACTGTTCAGTCCATTTACTATTGGAGGGAAGCCAGAGGGGCTCAGAGAACCCCTGGGTTCTGAAGCAGCCCTGAAAGTCAGCAAGCTCTGCCCCCTCCTCTCTGTGCAACCCTGCACCAGCAAGTTCCCAAAGGAGAAGGATCCAAGTTGTAAGGGTGGCTTCCACTCTTGCAAACCCCTCCTCTGCTGAAGTCCCACCCACTCACTTTCTCCAGTCCGAGCCATGAGGTTCAATGGGGACTGCAGCTGCTGGTTCTGCTTGCTGGCAGCCTCCAGGTGGCCCTAAGGGGTCAGGAAAGAGTGAGAAGGGATGCTGCTCGCAGGTCTTCCTGCTCGGGCGGCCACAGGGTGTCTGGCACTCCAATTGCCCCACCTGTGTTTCCAGCAGCTCTTGGTGGGCCAACTCGACCTCCATCTTGCCCTGCTCTTCTTCGTGCTGCACCCAGTTGACAAGCTGGGTGTCAAGCAGCACCTGCTTCTGCGGGACATCCTTCTCGTTGGCCAGCTGCCGGTAGGCGACCATGAGCTGCTGGTAGGCAGCCATGTACTGCTGAAGGTGACTAAGGTACTGGTCCCATTGCTGCTGCAGCTCCTGAGCCTCTTCATGTTTCTCTCCACCTGCAGTGAAGACACAGGGGGTGAGGGCAGGCGGTGGTTGGCCTCCAAATTGTCACCGGAACCCAGCTGCCTCGGCAAGACGCTACCTCAGGGGGACCAGTAGCGACCAGCACTACTGGCCAGTGCTGCCCAGCACTCCTGGTGACAGGGGATTGGAACCCTACTTGTACTTCTGGTGGACAGTACCTGGCTGAGGTAGACACCACTTTTGGCTACAGTAAGCTCTGTTTCACATTTGTAAAATAAACCCCAAGGTGGTTGTTTCCAGAGGCTGAAGTCTTTTGCAATTGTGCACACAGTTGAGAACCACAGTCATGAGTCCACTACCGGGCACTATCCTTCCATTGGCTATAGCCTGTAGGCCCCTATTGTATGGGTACTGTATTGCTACAGCCCTTGGTTTTGGCTTTGGGGCTTTTTGGCAGCCCTCTTGTCTTAAAGCCCGGGCAGGTAGGTGCCACTGCGGCCTATCCTGGCATCCCATCCTCATGCCCCGTGAATACCCTTTTCAGTTGGGATCCCAGCCGGTGTCAGAGACACCAGGGGTTAAAAGCTCTTTGTGAGTTGCTGGACAACACCAACAACAAACAGCTCTTTCAGACATGAGGCCCGGAGCCTTTGGTGCTCCTTTCAGGTGATGTCAGACACAGGACTGGAGGCCCAGTCTCTGACAGAGGTCTTCATCCTCTCTTTCTCCCGCAGAGGTTGGCTACTGGATGCTTCTTGTCTTCTTTCAGCTTCTGGTCCTCCTTTCTTGAGAGGCCAGGAACAGTGTCTTCCCCTTCTTTCTTTGGAAGTTGGAACAAAGCCCATCAGCTCCCTCTAACCCTGGCTTATATTACTCTTCAGGGTGTCCCAACATCAAGTCTGATTGGACCATTTTTCTTTTTTTGTGCAGAAGAACTGGGGTATTAGCCAGGGGTTTAGAGTGAGCAGAACAGGCAGACTGACTGAAACACACTGCTGAGGGTAACAGTTGGCAAGGCTGGAGATGTTTGCTGCTCCCTGTGGGTCAGATCCCAGCCAGGGACCAAACTCAGGCAGTAGTGGTGATGGTGCCGAAACTTAACCCATAGGCCACCAGGGAGGCCCTGGACCATTTGATCCTTGGCTGACTGGACCACTTAGCACCAATCAGCCCATAGCTTGCACCTGATTGGTCCTGCCCATAATCCAGGAAGCGTGCAGAAAAGGGCAGTTCTGAGGAGCAACTGCCTCAACGGACTTGTGGTGGAGCAGCAGAGTGGAGACCACCACTGCCGCTGGCTCTCGCCACTGAGGCACCTCCCAGATCTGCACCCACAGATGGGGGGACAGGCACAGACCCCTCTTCCTGAGGCAGGCACTGTGGGACTTTGCCACCTGCCCAGGCCCCTTCCTTCAACTGCTGCGGAACTGCTTTCTAGTTCTCTCTGAAGTGAAGGATGCTGAGGCTCAGCCCTGTTCATTGAAGCACAACCCAGAGCCAAGTCTGGAATCAGAATGTCTCCACGTCTCCTCATCTCTCCCCTACTGGCTCATGCCTCCAGCAGGGAGGTGACCAGCAGTCCCGGAGAACCCACCGCTCCATGTCAGAGCCTAGGGCACAGGTGGTCACGGACCTGGCAGGACTGCAGGGTCACCAGTGCCCCCCAGCCCTGAGTTGGAGCTACGTCTGTCCTAGCCTAAGGGCCTCCCTCCTGGAGGTTTCCGAGCCCTTCCCAGCTGGCGCAGGGCTTACCATCTCCTTCAGCTCTACCAGCTTCTCCTGTAGCTGGCCGAGTTTCATGGCCAGCTCGCTCTTGGTGTTCTGCTCCATTTGGAGCGAGCTGGTCGCCTCCATGTTCTGATGGGATTGGACAGACAGAAGAAACAATGAGACGCCACCCAATGCAGCTGGAGACCCAAAGCTCCGTGTCCCCTCCCACATCAGGACGAGGTCATCTCCCAGCCCAGGGCACCACAAGCACCTTACCTTCTTTTTTTTTTTTTTTTTAAATAATAAATTTTATTTTTATATTGCCCCATACAATTGCAAACGCCCCATTCTGACCCCAATCCTTCCCCTCCGCCCCCCACACCCCAAAAAGTGTCTCTGGTTCATAGTTTTTTGTCGATTTTGATTTTCACTTTCTTATATTCATTTTCCTGGTCCCTTATTTAAGTTTTCTAGATTCCTGCTATGAGTGAGACCATCCGGTATTTTTCTTTTTCTTTTTGGCTTATTTCGCTGAGCATGATCCCTTCCAGCGCCATCCATGTTGCTGCAAATAAGCACCTTACCTTCTTGCAAAGCACTCTCTGGTCATCTCCCTCACCCACCCTCTGCCTGGGACTCCCACATCACCCACTCTCCACGGGGATGAACACTGCCCACCTTTACAAATCCGCCTCAAAGGCCACTCCTCCAGTTTCCAGACCCCTCAGAGCCAACTGCTCCCTCAGTTGCCACATCCCACCTTGCCGCCTAACAAAATGTCTGCTGCCAAGAGCCCAAGGAAGATGGGTAAGTGTCCAGTTGATTTTTAAAAGACAGCAGGGGAGCATGTCCCAGTAACTCATCTCTGGTGAACCTCACGTACTTTGCAGTTCTGCTACAAAACTCACCTGAATCCTTGCACCTGTAACAAAAGCCCCCTTTCTCCTAAGTTGCATTTCCCACTCCTAAGCTAAAATGAATTCATCACTTTGAAAAATCAACCGTTATGTGCACTGTTGGTCTTTGGGGGACATGTCCAGAGGGCAAGCCCTGTGTGTGTGGGGGGGGGTTGTTGACACTCTCCCAATAGAACGGCCCCCTGAGCATTCACCCTGGAGGCTTGGAAGACCCAAATATCACAACCTGCTCTGGAAGCTATTCCCAAATGACCCCTCATACTTCATGGTGTATTGTATCTTCTCCAAGATGATAAAGATGTGCAGAAAGGAAAACAACAATCTACCAAACTGGTGAAATAGCAGACATAGACACACCGAGGGTTAATGATGGTAACATAAAATCAGCCAGAGGCCAAGTACCCCAACCAGACAAGCCTCGGGCATGCACGCTGGGAGAGGCCAAGCCATAGAGGGGGTCTCGGCATGGCCTCACCTTCCTCTTGTCCAATGGGGGGAGCGCTACCCCATTGGAGTGGTTAAGGTCAGACACCAGCACCTGCAGAATGTCCTGAATCTACAGGAGGTGAAAAGAGAAAAATAAGGGCAAGGGGAGGAAGAGAAAAGCGGCTTAGAGAAGACAAGAAGGTCAGAGAAGGAAAGAGAGAGCAGCTCTGGACGATGGATGCTGGAGACAAGGATGACGGATCATACCACAGCCTGCACCATCTTTCCAAATGGCCACTCACTGTCTTGCCCAAGGCAGAAAGCAACGTGAACCAAGAGATGGATCAAAGCTACCAGATCAGTCTGGAAGACACTGATCTGGCCCAACAATATCATCTTCCAGGTGAGGAAACTGAGACCCGGGAAGGATGTGATTTTCCCTGTGATCACCCAGGAAGCAAGTGGCAAAGACAGACTCCCACCTCAGAGGTCACCTAATCCCAAGCACCCGGGGCTCATCTGTGCCACCCTAAAGGGAGAGGGTGTCCTCACTGACTGGCTTCCCCTTGAGGCTGGGGATGAGGGAAATTGCCAGAGCAAGAAGTCCATAGCGATGCCCTGTACTGAAGGCTTACTGCGCACCAGGCCCCGCACGAAGGGATGAATGCACAATCATCTCATGGATGCTGCCTAGATTTAAGTAGAACTGTAGCACCCTGACTCACAGGTGGACAAAGAGCTTAAGCTGTGTCACCCCAAATCAGATCCCCAGCAGAGCTACGGAGATGCCGCACTCAGACCCAGGGTTCTTACCCACTTCTTTCATGCTCTTAACCTCTCACTCAGCTGCCCTGGAGCACCCCTCTCCTAGGAAGCCTGGTCGAGCAAGTCTTACACTTTTGATGACTCACAAGCACCAGAAGCGGTTGTCTCTGGCCTACTGCCATGTTTCTTCTTCTTTTTCTTTTTAACTCCTGAAAGAGACCCCAAGCTGTTTTTCTTTTGGTAGTCTCTCAACTGCAGAGAGGGAAAAAAGAGTTGAGGTTCATGAGAACTGCAAGCCCCTGTACAAGTTAGATTTACCATCTGACTTCATGCCACCAGAACTCTACCAGGTGCTGTGAGTAAAGAAGACAGTGACAAAAGAAATGGACTAATAACATGGTTTAAAGAAACAATGGTTAGGAGTTTACACTCAGTCTTGAACTTCTGGGATGCCATGAATCAGTAGCTGCCAGCATGTAAAGCCAGCGCGGGGTGGAAAAGCAAGCATGTGAGTACTCAGACGTTAGGGCCCTTTCTTATACATGTTAACTGTTAACAGCGCTGCTCAAGCTCCTGCACCAATGGATGCTGATGGCAGGAGGCAGTGAGGGGACAGCCAGAGGGACAGCCAAGCACATTTCAGAGCAATCTATTACAATCTCACATATGTCTGCATATGTTCATTAACACAGAAGGTTTGTTCTCTCAAGAGACTGAGCAGAATTGATGCTTCAGTTGCCTATTTATCCTGTGGCGAGCAGAGCAACCCATGTTGAGACAACTGGGGGAAGATTTCCAACTGAGAAGGTCAGTTTGCTGGGATCTGATCCACAGAGGATAAACAGATCACTCCAAAGAGCACTGATTGGGGGGCATTCTGGCCCCAGGTCATATGGAATTAGAATGTGAGATGGAGAAGTCAGACAAGTCAGAAAGTCTCCACGGAGAAGTAGAAACCCTGCAGAAAACCAACTCAACAATTCTTCCCAGGGTCACCCAGAGTGGTTGCCAACATTTCAAGATTACTAGGGAAGCACAGGCTTTGAAGGCACTCAGTGTTTAAAGGTGGGGTACAGAACAGAGCAAGTGAGCCTGAACCCTCTCCCAGGGTCGGGTCCCAGGGTCTTGAGTCCCCTTCAAGTCGGTAATCTGAGGCCACAAGGGAAACCTGAAAGGGGGTTAGTCCTGGGGGGCTGGGGCAACAGATCAAGCACCCAGCTCTTGATGTGACATAAGGATAGTTCCCAGGGGATTGTGAGTTAACTACATTCCACCCCTCCACCCTCCATGCACATTCCACTCTCCTCTTTGTCCAGGACCAGCCTGCTTATGAACTCTCAGTGTTCCTCCCTCATCACTGCTCTCTGGTCTGGCAGAGAGCCAATCGGGTGGCTCAGGCCTGGTTATGAGGGTCTTTTGCAGGGATGCAAGAATATGGGTAGAGAAGTTGGTTAAATGTGGTATGAGACATTTCCTGAATGCGAGCCTGTGTGAATTTTAGGAGGCAAGGAGCAAAAAGAAAAAAATAAGGTGATCATTAGTATTGGCCCCAAGAGTGGGAGGAGCCATGAGGCTATAGGAATTTGAAACCATGTCAGTGGAGAGTTGGAGTCCCCTCTTTCCCTTTCCACATCTTTGTGTAGTTGCATTAAGGCTTCCACATTTTGTTCCACAATCTCTGACTCACTGATATAATAACAACATTCTTCCCTGAGGAACAGCCGTTCACAGGTCCAGAGCCCGCCAGTTTTGGAGTGACCTGTGCCAGGGAGGGGAGCTGTCTTTGTGATGAAGCTAAGGACACAGAGGTTTTTTCTAAAGAGGTATCTATTCATTAACCGAAATGTTAGAAGTGCAGGAATGAAAGCCGACAAGGGCGTCAGTGTGCTAGCAGGGGTAGCTGTGATTGGAGTCCCATAGGGGGACTGAGAGTTGGGGAGTCTGGCAAGCAGCATCCGTTATCTTGGTCATAGTGGTATTGAGATTAATTGGAGCTGCCACCAGTAGAGGCCTCTGAAGGGAAGCACAGAGGAAACAAAAAGGTATTAGATCCAAAAGAGTTATGTAGGAATAGTATAGCGTTTTGTATTTTATGAATCCAGCTTGAGGGTCTCAGTCTTTTCTGATGATGTTAGCTGATTTTGTAGGACTTGCTCTGAATGGAGGATGTCCTGGGAGACTTGGACTGTGGCATTTTGTGTCGGAACATAGCCCTTGAGAAAGACAATGTTGCCACTGGGTAGGAATGCCAGCCAGTGTACCCTGTGGCTTGGACTCCCTGTACACAGCGTAGGTCCCAAGGATCTGAAATAGCATAGCTAACCTGATTCGTATTGAAACCTGTATTATGACAGACCAGAGAGAACATTCAGCCTTTGTCTGGAAGGTGCACTGTATGTGACTGGTAATGGCACCCCCCATATTCTTTGTAGGTATTCTTGCAGTGATCTAAGTTTTGATGGTAAAAGAAAAAAGGTGTTCATAGGGTTGTTAATCGATGAAAGAGTTAGGGTGAGCGTGATAGGTGCTGTGCATCCAGCCTGTGGGCACTCCGCGGACCAGCACAGCAGTAGACGATGAGGCCGTCTCAGGGTTGAGAGACTGCACAGGGTGGTCAGGGATTCAGTTAAAGAAATGACAAACAGACACACTTCAAGAAAGTGTAAATCTGAGTGCGCTTTAATTAAGTTAGTGGTCAGTATATATATGTTTTTTCTAAAGGCATAGGAACAGTGAACATCAAAGAGATCAGTTTGCTCATAGGCTTAGCTTAATTGACAGGGCAGTGATTTATGTCCGAAGTTACACCTGGACCTAGCCTCATTCCTAATATTAATTCTTTCTACTGTTCTATATAATTATTTTCTAGTTGCACTATCACTATTACCTACTCATTTTTACTCATAATTAATTGTCATGGGTGAATTTATTTTATAATGCAGCTAATATAGGTACTAAAGTCAAGCATATAATAGAAGATTATTAAACTAACAATTCTATTATTACACAGTGTTTAGTAATGTTTCATTTGGATTAGCCTGTTTATTAAATTATGTATGTTTTTTAATTAGCAATCAATGACCAGAAAAAGGAAAGATTTTAGAAAGACAGTTGTAGCAGAATAAAGTTTGTGGGCCTTGAGAAAGCGAGATAAGGTTCCAGGTGGTCAGCATTTCTTTTAATCATCTTTGTGGCAGCTTCTGGTGGTCGTTATCTCTTGGCAGGCATTCGGCTTTTCTGCATCTTAGGGAGTTTGCTGTTCTCCCCCTGCGCGCATGGTTCCTTGCCCACGCCGGACCTCAGGGACCATGGCAACAGCCATTAGCCCTGAGGGTCACTGCAGGGGGAGGTGCAGCAGGTAGTCTCAGTGGATCCTGAGACAAAGGTCTCCCTAACTTTGAATTTCCACACATAGGACGCTGAGCTAGGGGAGATTTTGACAAGAAATGTGCATCCTAGTAGGACCCAGGTTACGACATGCATACTGCTTGTCTTCAGGGGCAAGTTTGACCCGAGAGAGATGGTGCCAGGAGGGGTCTCCCAAAAGTGTTACCGCTGCAGGCGTGGGGAGAATGAACGTGTGTGGACTGGTCCATGGAGGCTGCAGTGGCTTTGGCTGAAGCAATTTGAGCAGGACTTGGTCTCCCGGATGCAGTGGTGTGGAAGGTCAGTTGAGGAGGTCGGGATCCGAGGCAGGACTGGGTAAGTACCGGTCTTTGTGTTCCCGCAGCAGTTGCAGAGCTCTCAGGAGAGTTTAGTCAGGTGATCCTTGATTAGCCCATTGGCGCGCTCCACCTTCCCTGAGGATTGCAGGTGGTGGGGAATGTCAAGCGTCCAGGTGATACCCAGAGCCACAGAGACCTGCTGAGTAATCTTTGAGATAAAAACTGGACCATTGTCAGATAGGATAGAGCTGGGGAGGCCAAAGCGTGGGATAATGTGGTTAAGAAGGGCCTCGGTTACCACCTGAGCCGTTTCTCTAGCTGCAGGGAAGGGCTCGACCCAACCTGTCACTGTATCAACCATTGTTAGCAGATATTTAACCTTTTTGTGAGTAGGGAGGTGAGTAAAAACCTGCCAATCCTGTCTGGGTAAGTGTCCACGCAGCTGGTGAGCTGCAAAAGAAGAAGGTGGGTGAACTCCAGGTTTGATGCCGGGAACATATCTGACAGACTTTTGCACTCAAGGAGGGGTGGAAATGAGGACTCAGGAATTGGCGTTCATTAGGCTCCTAAGTCAGAGTGATGGAGGGGACAGATAGAGAGAGAATAGGAGCAGGGTCTGCAGCAGAGTCAGTTGTGGGAGCCCTTGCTGCTGCATCAGCCTTGTTATTCCCTGTGGTCATGTAAGAATTGTCCGTGTGGT